TCATACACCAGAGTAATATATATGTTGCATAGAATATTACGTACATACATAAACATATGACTAGTCCCCACCCCCCAATTACTTGTATAAGGATTATTCTCCATGGTATTGACGGGAGTCCAGGATGGGTTATTGTAGCCTGCTAGCTCTTTGAGTTGAAATTCAGTCTTTCAACTCAGTCTCAACTCATAGGATGTATCTTCAAGCTCAGGACTATAGCGAATTTCTTGTGATATTTCTTTTTTCCCTGGGTTAACGCTTCAAGTTGTATTCTTGTATGGAATGCACCAGTAGAGGCTAAACCAATTTCATTGTATACATGATGTACAATGGCAATAAAGGCTTTGAACTTGAAGTTTGAACTTTGGTCACTTTGATGTGTGCAGAAACATTCAGAGAAAATACACTTTTGTTGCTTTCCCAGTGGCTTTTTATACTTGTGACTTGGTATCCTTCTGAATCATCTCCATGATAGAGAGTTGAAGATATGCTTTATCTCTGCCTTGATTTGGTTTTTCTTAATTCTGCCTATTCAAGTGGTTCCTACTCATAAACTAAAGAGGATTTTTCTCAATCTTTCCACCATGTTATCTCCATTCCCTACACATTTTCCTCTTTACATTGTTTTTCTGTTCTTACTAATTCAGCTACCTTGGTCTTTACTACTTCTGTAGTTTAAATAGGTAGAATTGCCTCTCTTTCTATCCCTTTCCAGTCCAGTTCCTCCTCTTATGAACATTTCTGTCCTGTATAATGGAAAGGACTATTGCTGTTTGTTCTTGCTTGTATCATTTTCTTTCTTCTCACTTTACCTCTCTTCCAGCCCCATGCATTGCATCCATCTTAATACATCACAATATTTCTCATTTTTAAAAAAACCAAAACCTTTTACGTATAGATTGTAACATTCAAGTAAAGGGATTTTCTGATTTTTTAAATACATTTACAATAAAGATTATAAAATTATTCACCTTACATGGAGATATTTTTCTTATCAATGAATTACTTAGAATGTATACTTTCAAATGTAGTTATACTTTATACTCTCAGATGTTATTAAAACCAGTTTTCTTCCCTAAAACATTCCAAAGAAAATTGATTAAAAGTAATAACACTTTGCTTTCTAGGTACTCTGGCATCTTGATATTTTTCGACGCAGTTTTCGACAACTTACAACACACAAATGCATGGGAGATTCCTGTATATTTTGTGCCCTCAAAGTAAGTGATAGAATGAATTCAACAGGAGTCAATAAATACGTATCTATGTAATTATTAGAAATATCTATATCTATAAAAAGAGTATTAATTTCATTACAAAAATGCATTGATGTTATATTGATTTATAATTTCATATTTATATGTATATTGTTTGTGCAGCATTTTGTCCATTTGTTGTCCATTCCTCCAAGCATGTCAAGGGATTTTAGAAGTCTGGCATTCACTGGTGTTTTCCCCTCCCCAAACATTGGCAAAAGCTGGAGCCTTTGGGGAGGGAAAACCATCAAGCTAACACCATCCTTCTGAATGGCTCAAAAGGCTGGCTTTCACTATCATTTCCACCAGATTTGAGATGTATTCCTCCAATACACCTTCCTCCATTGATTTTCTGAGGATGCTGGCAGAGACGATTGCAAATGGTGGTCACATTATTGTGGGGCAGTTGTCACAGGTTCTAATAAAATAGATTGCCAAGTACCTGAAATTCAACCACATGACTATGGGATGAGACCATTTACAACAGCCAAAGGTGCCTTACAGGCTGCCCAGCCCCTGCTCCAAGAGTGTCATAAATGTGAATGATCATAAAACATCCCATTAGAAGTCAAGGAGAGGAACCAAACAAATGTTTTCTAGAACATCCTTTATTAGAAAAAACTGGAGTGTTTTGAGTTTTTTTTATTTAGAAAATGGTAGATCATGTTAGGAGTAAATAAAATTATGCTTGAGGAGAAAGTATTTCAACAAAACTAAAATGGGAGAGTATTAAGATAGGCTGACTTCTACATGTTAGTAAGTGTTAACAGTAGTCAACTTTGTTTATTTGGAAAAGATAATGGGGAATAAGGTTATTTATGACTATTAGTTATAATGACTATATATAATCTTCAGAATTAGAAAAAAATTAAACATAATTTGTTGGGAAACATGGATGGGTGAATAATGTAGTATCCAGATTCTTTTCACAGATACAGGTATTCCTCAAGTTACAACCATGAATCCTGCCCATTGCAGTCATAAGTTGTAACAGTCACAAAGGTGATCAGTCATATGACTGAATTTACAACCTTTCTTGCAGCAATCATTTAAATAAACACTGTGGTCATAAGCAATTGCTGCAGTCATTAAGAGAATGCAATGGTCATTAACCAAACCAATTGTTGTTGTGTGGTTAGTTTTGCCAAAAACTGGAAATAATTGTCAGTTTTCAGCAAGGCTATTGTAAAATGTTTTCATATGTTCATGGGATGATGCAAAAAACCATGAATTCAGCTGGTTATCAAGCGCCGAAAATACAATCATGTGACCCTTTCAAAACTTTGAATCTGGGTCATGATTGGATCTTTTCTCATTAGTTCTTCTCTGCTTCTAGTTAGCCATTTGTCCAAGTTGCTATAAGAATTCCTGCACGGGGCAAGGGGTTGGATTATATCATTGGAAGGTCCTTCCCAACTGTCAGATTTCAAGTGTAACTTATGAGGAAATATTAAAAAAAACTGGAGTAAATGCAGCTTTGCTTTTATCAGTCAGTGCTCTTTTGTTTAACTTTTAGTTTTCTGAGAGTTGTGATCTCTTACAGAAAGCCTGTTTTGAGTGAAAATGTTTTCTTTTCTGAAATATAGTCTTTCAAGTAGTTTATAAAAGCTGACATTTAAAGGCAGTTTTTAATTTAAGATAATTATTGTGTTATATTTTGTAACTTGCTTTTGAATTATAAATAAAACCTGAGAACCCACAAGTGAAAAAATATTTTCTCCTTCAGTCCCCCACTCCCATTGTTCTTAATCAATATATAAAGTTGCAGTTCTTATATGTGCAAAGATTATTTATATTTTGAATATTTTATTCCTCAATATTAATCTTACATTCTGCAATGGTTAATTCATCTCACTTATATTACTTATTTATATTACCCATACTAGTTTCATTTCACAAGTTGCCATAACCATAACCTGTTAGTTATTCAGATAAAGTATCCTTGCATTACACTTTCATCTGAGTTATAACATTGCCAATAAACACAAATGTGAATTTTCATTTTTTTTAAGTCAATGCTCTTAATGATTGTAGGAGCACATAATAAGCTTTTTTATCTGTTCCTGTGTTGACATCAGTTGAGCATCCTTGCATATTTTTTTACCAAACTGATGAATAAATTTTATTGGCAGCTTGTTTATTTTTGTTCATGGAATGAGTAGCGGAAAACTTCCCAGGTGGAACAAAACAAGTTACAAAGAATTTGTTTGCTTTTAGGGACTGTGGTGCCAGGATGTAGGACAGGGGATGTTTTGTTGTGGCTAGAGAAGAATGAAGCCTTCATTTTTAGATTCTAATAGTGCCTCTGTCTTACAGGATTTTCATATGACAAAAGCTCGAATTAATTTTCAGGATTGAAAGTGTGCTTTCTGAGATGAAAGATGAGATTCTTAAGTGTTTGCACTAATAAAGGACAAAAAATACTGTTTCGGTTTTGGTGAAAAATTCATAGCCATTTTACAGTATAAGAACTAGTAATTTCACTTAGTAATTTCTTCCCTCCTACACTCCCATTTCTGACTCGCGTATTACATGCTTCAATCACTAAAAATACTAGCTACATACAAACTTGAATTGTATTTTCCATTCGTGGGACATAGTTGTATGAAATACTCCTTAGTAATTTAGGTTACTGAATTAATAAATAGGCTTCGCTTTGGCCAAATCCTCATAAATTCTTCTTCTATTTCTTTCTGTTACTTAAATCCTATTAGTTATCATTTATCAATGTTGCTATCAGCTACCTGTGTTGATAAAATAAATTTATTTTTAGAGAAAAAACAAATAAAAATACTGCTGATATATAATTATGATAGTATTGTTTTGAGTCTATAGTTAAGACATTTACAAAATAATATAAAGTACATGGGGGGGGCAGGACAGCAGTTCTATGGACAGATTAATTTAGATACTCATGAATGCATCAGTCCATTTCATAAATATCTATGCCAGTATCTTAACAATCTGAAAACAAGATGCTACATTCCTATGGAATAAATTAGACAATCGCTCCTGGCTGACAAACTCACTTATTCATCCACACAAATACGGAATACATAAATCATAAAGACCTGCACAAATGCCTATACAGAAAGTCTGAAGCTTCAAATCAAGGCTGAATTAATAATGTGATTATATTGGAAGCCAGTGCATTAAAAGAGAAGTTTGAAAAAAAGCACGGAATGTTGAAACCTTTAAGCAAGAATGGAAATTGAAGCTCAATCACAATCTGGTACAACCATTACATTATCAGGCTATGAACCAAGAACCAGGGGATCTGGCACACATTTGGAATAGAAATTGCTTTTTTAAAAAATTATTACCTCGAGTGTTTTATTATGAATGTATCAGCCATCAAGTTCCTGGCCAACAAGTGGGAAAACAAAATGTGCGGTGAGGTTTATGGCTGGTGAGGCAAAAAGAAAGAAAGCGGCTTTTGGCCGCTGTCAAGAAAGAGGCTTTTGGCCGCTGTCAAGAAAGAGGCTTTTGGCCGCTGTCAAGAAACAGGCTTTTGGCCGCTGTCAAGAAAGAGGCTTTTGGCCGCTTTCAAGAAAGAGGCTTTTGGGCGCTCCCGGCGGTATGTCTGCCATACACACACCCTCCCCCCAAAGAATCCCAGACAGACAAACAAGCAGCTTCTCCACCATGGGCTTTGTTCTTAACCGACAGAGGGCAAAGGGAATAAGGGGGGGGGGGTGGCGAGGCTGCCTTTTGCGGGGAGAGCAGGAGCTTCGCCAACCGTGGAAAGGTGCCCTGGGGCTGGGATCCAAGGCGCGCTTAACTAGGCAAGGTACTTGTGCAGACCCTCTGGGGCATGGGAACTGAGGAAAAGAATGGAGGGGAGGGGGGCGTGCGGAGAAGAAGAAGCGTGCCGAGCTGTCATCAGGGCTGCTGAAGCTCGCAAGGGAGATCTTGAAGCGGAGGATCCCAGGGCTGCGGACGCGGGGCTTTGATTTGGTGATTCTGGGATCAGCAGCCACGAGGGATTGGCGAGGATGACCAGTGCTTTTTTACTCAGCCCCGAACTGGGTTTGATTCCCAGCACACCTCTTGATTGGCTGAAGAGAATGTGATCCAAAAAGAAAAGGAAAGTGTCTGAATTAGGACAGGCAAAGACGAGAATTCCCGCTTGAGGGAAACCCGGTGGGTTTAAATTGAAGTTCGCCTGTTCTTTGTGGCAGCTGCCCTCAATTAGGGATCCCATCTAATTCAAGAGATCTTCACTTTACTGCAATCACCCCAAAGAATCCCAGACAGCCAAACAAGCAGCTTCCCCACCATGGGCTTTGTTCTTAACCGACAGCAGGCAAAGGGAATAAAGAGAGGCGGCAGTGAGGCTGCCTTTTGCGGGGAGAGCAGGAGCTTCGCCAACCACGGAAGGGTGCCCCGGGGTTGGGAAATAAAGTGCCAGCCCGGGGCTGGGAAATAAAGTGCCAGCCCGCGCTCCAGCAGAGGCGGGTAAAACACACACACACACACACACAAACATACACACAAATTACAATAAAAAATTACTTACAAATTAAATTACAATAATTTTGAATTCCTCCCCCCTCCCTCCGTTCAACCCACATACCATTTCCAGCTATGTCACAGAGGATTTCAACTCTCCTCTTGTCCGCCCACCATGATGAAAATGTAAAAAATGTAAAAAGAAAAAAGCAAGAGCAGCTGCTGCCAGAGCAAGAGGCAAGAGAACCACGTGCCTCCTTTGCATAAGGAATTTTTTGCCTTTTAACCCTTGCTTAACTCTGCTCAAGTGATCATAATGATAGTCTAAAGGAGGCCTGTGGTTCTCTCGCCTCCCCCTGCAGTTAATCACTAAGCAGAGTCATCCACTGTGACTCTGGCAGCAACTACCTCTGCCTTTTTCCTTTAAATTTTTTTTTCTTTTCATCATGACAGTGGTGAGGCCCTGCCTCTCCTGCCTCCCCTGATTGCACGTCCCTGGAAAACAACCTTTC